ATCTCGTTACTGGCTGAGCAGTCATCTCCCTCAGGCAATCAGAGTCAGGGTCACATTCTGTGGCTACTGTTCTCAGATTCCTGCCCAGTAGTCCCCAGTTGCCCAGCAGATACCAGGGCCAGACTGCCAGGTCCTCAGAACAGGCAGCTGGGCCTTGTGTATCGCACTCCAATCCCAGGGTCCCACAGGGATGCCAGATAGATTGGGAACTAGGAGCAGGGAGCTGACTGGCAGAAGCTTTGATCATGACCCCAACCCACCCTGACCCAAGTGTTCACTCACCCCTACCACAGCACACTCTCCACCACCAGCTCATTCCATTCCACAAAGGAAGGAGGTCACAGGAGGTAATGAGACTGTGTCCACTTTACAAACGGGAAGCCTGAATCTGGAGTGGCTTAGAGTGAGGGGACAAATCTGGTGCTCTTTCTGCCATGAAATACTGGTGTTCTGAGTGTGAATTCAGACTTCATCACTACCTGGTGGTGAACCCAAGGCAGTTACTTCTTCCTGAATCTCGGTGTTCTCACCCAAAAGGGAGCATGAGAACCTCCTTGTAGTAGGATTCAGTAAGAGAACATAGGTAAAGTGTCTGGCCTCATGCCTGGCTCAGCCCTTGAAAGGCAATAGCTATTATTATTTTTGCTATATTACCCCTGGTGCCCCCCCACACACACACACACAGAACTCCTGTTTCTGCTCGAAAGGACACTGTACCAGGGGCAGCAAACTTGGTTTCAAGTCCTGGCTCTTTACTTGGTAGCTGTAGATCTATCCTTAAGCCAGCCACTGTCACTTTCAAGTCCCCTACTCCTGAGTAAACTATGGAGGCTTATGCACCAGTGAGTGGTTCTGAAAGGACCAGGCAACATAGGAGTCCCTGTGGAGGGTGGTTGCAATGGCCCTTACATCCTGCAAGCCCTTTGCCCATGTAACTTCGTAGCTCCTCTCCCTAGGAGCTGGTCTGTCCCCCTCTTGAATCTAGATGGGTGACTATGACTTGCCTTGACCAATTGAATGCAGTGAATATGAAGCTAAGGGACTTCCTGGCCTAGGCTTAAGACCTGGCACTTACATTTTGCTATCTTGGAGTGCAGAGCCACCATAAAGAAGTCCAGCTATCCTGCTGGGGAGACCATGTGGACAATAGAAAAGCCAGCTGGCCTCCAGCCCTTCTAGCCTCCCCAGCTGAGGTGACAGACATGACCAGAAGACCTGGATCTTTCAGCCCCAGTCAAATCTCCTTAATTAACACCATGCAGAGCAGAGATTAGCTGTCTTTACCAAGCCCTGCCCAGATGGTAAAACTGAGAATAAATAAATGATTGCTGTTGTTTTAAACCATTAAATTTGGGGTGGTTGCCATGCAGCAACAGATAACTATAATAGTCCTTTTGTCCTTTCTGCCCCATTTTCGCCCAAACTTGGCTTGGATAATGTCACGTTCCTTGGCCTCAGCTGATTGGACAAGGGAATGAGCACCTGTCTTTGAGATAACCGATATCCATTGGCTGACAGGTGGCCAGATTTTTTTTTCCCCTCTGGAGAATAGGAATAAAGAGATCAGAGATTTTAGCAAGCCCAACAGTGAAGAAGGCTGGAGCTGGGCTTTTGGAATGGGAGCCGGGGGTGACTTTCAGCCAGGCTGTCATGTCATCAAAGGACACCAATTGGGGATAGAAGCAGGAAAAGTGATAGATCATGGAAGCAGGTTCTGTGGGGGCCCCAATAAATCACTTAACTCTAGCTGGTCTTTGCTGCCCTGTTCCTTGTACCCCGTGAGCCCTGACTTCAGACTGTAAAAGGCTCAAGGTCCCCTAAACTCCTAATACCAACAAGAGGTCTGCACTGCTCCTCTCACCCTTTCTCCCTTACTCTCCAAGACCTCCATCCCTCCAAACACACACAGAGCCACAGGGCATGGCCATCTCTCTGTCCTGGGCAGGAGTAATGGCCTAGTCAGCTCCCATCTTTCCCTCAGCCCCAAGGCTTTTAGTGGCAAAACAGGGGGCACGACCTGGTTTGGTTCCTACCTCACCCCATTCCAGCTCTTTGGGATCACCCACTGTGTTCCCCATACAGTCCCTTACCCTGCCAGTTCCTGAAATCAACCACTACTCCCTTGCTTGTCCAGAATAATGGCATGCTGATAGCAGTGGTCATTACTGCACAGCAAACAGGTGCCACACCCAAGGTAGGATTTGAACCAAGTTCTGTCTAACTCCCTATTCACTATGCTGTGTGACGCTAGGCAGGTTATTCCCTTTCTCTGAGTCTCAGAGTCTCCTTTTGAGGAGATAAACCAAGGATTATGCTGGTACTTGCTACTGCCTCTAATACTCACCCTGTTGGATGACATCCTTAGCCAGGTCCACTTGCTTGTCCAGGGTAGGATCCCAGCCTTATCATCTTTTCTCTTAAAGGCATGCTGTCTCATGGAAGAACGGGCCTGGAGGCTGCCTCTGGTCTTGATCTCCTGGAAAGCAGGCTAAACTGTCAGGATTTGGTATCTTGCCTTTCCTCCAGTAACATAGACCCAGGCTGAAAGGCAAGCAGAGCAGGAGCTCCCTAAAGATCTTGAAGTTTGCAGGACATGCTGACTCCACAACCCTACTGGGTCTGAGGCAGACTGAGGCCACTGGGACTGTGTGGAATGTGGGTGGCCCAGGAAGGCTTTGCCCTCCCTTCCCAATCACCTCTGGGTTCAGACTCCCAGCTGTGTGTGTGCCAGGGCAGGGGCAGGCGTGAGATGGTTTCTGCTCCTCCTTTCCCCTTCAGAGGCTGTCAGGCCATGGAGAAAGTAACCTCTCCAGCCTGACTTTCCAGGCTATTCCCCCTTATCTATCTGGCAGGGCTTTTAGCATCTGAGTTCATTACCCTCTGCTATGGACGAAGGTCCCACAGCTAGGAAAGGTCAGTACTGAAACCCAGGCCACCTAGCTCCCAGCTTGGGCTCTGCCCAATCCCCAGGCTCTCTTGCTTCAGCCAACCCAGCACTCTGACCCTAGACACTCATGTCCCCCCAAACCGACTCTCTCCCCTATCTGAAAACCTCACAATTCTTAGTCCCAGATTATCCTCAGGGGTCCAATTCCCTCAGGAGGCAGGAATAATTTGGTGCCACAAATCACCTGCTCTTACCAGAACCCTGTGAAGTCACACAGACCCAGGCATCCCAGAGGGCTAAGGAACAAACCACGGCTGCCTCTTGATGACCAGTGTGTCCAGGGCTGGCAATGGAAAGACTATGCTCTGGTCTCTCCAGAGGTGGACAGATCTGTTGGGTTCTTGAGCTTTGCATTCCACTGGCCTCTTTACATACAGACCACCCCCCATGCCCAAGGAATCCTCTCCCTGTCCCTGTGCTTCCGAAAGTGGTCTCCTGCCAGGTGGGGTTCACCAGGCTTGGCTCTGAGAAGCCTCAAGCCAGGCTTAGAAGTCTGCATCTCTGGGAGTCTGGAATTCCAGGCTCTGGTCCTGCCACTTAGTAGCTGTTTAACTGTATACACTATTAGCCTCTCTGATCCTTAGTCTTCACATCTGTACCAGGATTGGACACAACAGCAATCATCAGCACCACTTTGGTCGAAGGCTTCCTGAATGCAAGGCACCCCACCAACCAACAAATGTGCCTGGGCTCCCTCGTTTAACCTCCTAACTATCCAAAGTAGCAAGACCACCTTTATATGTTACAGATGGGAAGACTGAGGTCCAAGAGGGTAAATAACAACCCCAAACAGCTAGTAAGTGTTAGAACAGAAAGTCAGGCAGGGCTTTTAGCATGACCTCAAACTTCAAAGATGTATAATCATGTGACAAGGTGATCTGTCTGGCTCTTTGCACTTCTATCATCCAGAGCATCCCTTTTCAGAGCTGAGTTTGGAGTGTCTAGGTTTGGTGTCAGCGGGCAGGGCCACATCTGACCTTCCTGGTCAGCTCATGTGCTGGTGGATCCCAATCCAGAATACTTCACAGCCCAGGATAGGGCCCTGTGGAAGATGGAGCAAAGCTGGGATGGTGACTTGGGTCTGAGCAATCCAAAAGTGAGCCCCAGAACTGCCTTCCCCAGCCCTCAAAACTGGGCACTCTACATGGGAAGTGACATACAGCAGGCACTCGATAAATGCTTGTGCTAAGAGCTGATGTTCCCAATCCCTGGATAGGTCTAAACCAAAGCTACAGGGGTATTCTGCCTGGGAGGATCCCAGAACAGAGGTGGCTGAAGCCATGATGCTCATGGGCCTTGGGACATCCCTGTGGGTCTAAAGCCTAGTTCATCTAGCTGATGTTTTTGGCCACTGCCCTGGCAGGCGCTTCTGGAAGTCCCTGAGCATGAGCAGGCCCTCTCCCCGCTCAACCCCAACCTAAACCCACGGAGATCCCTTCAGGAAGCCCACCCCCCACCATGAGATAATAATGACTAGAATGAGAACAGTCACCCACGTGTGTGCACAGCACTTTACAGGTTACAAAATGTTTCACATACAGCTCATCAATTCCTCACAACAGCCCTGTGAGGTAGGCAGGACAGGGAGCAACTCTTCCATCTGTACAGACGTGGAGACTGAGGCCCAGAGAGGGTCAGTGACCTGTTTGTGGCCCCATGGCAAGTCAGTGGCACAGCTGGGACCAGAAGTTAGGCCTCGTCCCTGCCTCCAGTCCCTGGCTCTCTCAGCTGACTATGCCGTCCTCCAGGAGGACAACCCCTGTCCACAGTATCAGCCACACCCAACCAGGCCCCTGACCCTTGGCAGCTCAGCACAGGCCCGCCCTCATGGGGCGGCCCTGTCCCCTCCACCTGCTCCCAGCAAACAGCCAGCCCTCTGCCTGCTCCTTTAGGCTGACGAGGCAGGGTGGGCAGGTGGGGCTGGAACCTCTTTTCCTGTTTTCCTGAGTGATCCCTCCCCACAGGGGAAGAGAAGAGAAAGGAGGAAGAGGGGAAAAACAAGAAACTGAGTTGGAAGAAGGCCCTGGAGCAATCAGGACGTCAAAAGTCTGCATTCCGACTAGCTATAGGAAATAGTTTTTTTCTCTTTTTATTATTTCAAGTTTTCATAAAAATCCATAATTATTGAAACCCAAGTTACAGAAGTTCGTAACTTTTTAAACTGAATTATTGACTGCTGTGTGTCTGTCTGTCAGCTTCCGACTCCAGTCTGTCTGTATGTGCCCCTGTGCAGCGGATTCCCCAGACTTCTGAGGTCCTGGTAGAGAGAGGGGAGGTGGTGAGGGCCAGTGGGGCAGCCAGACACAGGAGTAGGGGCAGAGAGGGGTGGCAAAGGACCAGGGAGGGAGCCTGCCCATGCTCATATCATCTTCATGTTGAACTTCCGGGGCGCATCGGTGGAGCTGATGCCTGTGTCTGACTTGCGCGGCACGTACTCAATCTCTATGTTATGCTTTGTGTTGCCCTTACCCCGGCTCCAGAGGAACAGAAGCACCAGGCAGAAAAGTACAACACCCAGGAAGGAGATGAAGCCCATGGTGGTGGCAATAATGAGGGTCTTGATGTCGAAGGGGAAAGGCACAGTGGCTCGGGTGCTGTTGGCCTCCCCCTCACCTGGCTGGTTGGAGATGAAGGCGAAGGTCTTGTTGGGGTGATGGGGCCAGTCAGGTGAGTAGCTGCGCACATGCAGGTGGGCGGGCATGGAGTCATTGCCACCTGCATTGGCTGCAATGCACAGGTACGTGCCGTTGTCCTGTACCTGGGCATAGCGCACCTCCAGTGTGCCATCAGGGAAGACTGTGAGCCGCCCATTGCTCTTGGCAGAGACCAGGTGCTTGCGGGGTGATAGCCAGAGGATGGCGGGTGGCGGGTCACCATCCGCCCGGCACACAAACTGGACCGTGTGGCCCTCATCCACAAACACCTGTTGGGCCTTGCGGTCCCGGATGCGGGCACGGCGGCAAGTGAAGTAGTTGGGCAGGAGCACGTCGGGGAAGTCCTTGAACTCCTTGCCCTGGACAAACTCAGGTGTGGCACACGTGGGTTGCTGCCGGTTGAAGTTGAGCCGCCAGCGGCGCCGGAATACCCACAGGAGACGGCAGTCGCAGGCCAGTGGGTTGGAGTCCAGGATGAGCGTCTCCAGGTTGCCCACTGAGTGGAAGGCGGACTCCTCCAGTGTGGTCAGCTGGTTGCCAGAGACGTTGAGCACACGCAGGTAGTTGAGGCCACGAAAGGCATAGGGCTCCACCACAGCCAGCTGCCCACCCACCAGCTGGATCTCCTGCAGTCGTAGCAGCTCATGCAACATGGAACCCTCGATGGTGCTGATGGGGTTGTAGGAGAGATTGAGGAAGCGTAGATAGACCAGGTGGCGCACAGCCAGGTAGGGCACAGCAGTCAGATTGCAGTGCGTGATGGATAGGGATGTCAGATTGAGACCATAGAGGCAGTTGGGTGTCATGGTGTCCAAGTACGGCCAGTGGGAGATCTCCAAGACCTTGAGCCTGTACAACCTCTTGAAGGAATAGTCCCGGATGGCATTGATGTTGAGGTGCCGGAGCCTCAGGACGATGAGACCATGCAGGTGGGACAGTGCCTCCGTGGGGATGGAAGTCAGATTGCATTTCTCCAGTGTCAGCTGCTCCAGGCTGTTGAGGCCGCTGAAGGCTCGGTGGGAGATGTAGACGAGGTCGTTGTCGCCCACTTCCAGCGACTTTAGGTTGTACAGGTCCTGGAACATGTAGTCCAGCAGGATGACAATCTTATTCTCGCTGATGTCCAGCTTGGTTAGGTTGCTGAGGCCAGTGAAGACGCCCAGGGGGATGAGCTTCAGACGGTTGCTGCGGAGCCCCAGCGTTCGGAGGTTGAAGAGGTTATTGAAGGTGCCAGGCTCCACAGTGCTCACAATGTTCTCATTGAGCTCCAGCTCCTCCAGGTGCGGGAAACTGGCAAACTCATCCTGGTTGAGCGTTTTGATGCGGTTCTTGCCCAGGTCCAGCAGGCGGGTCTCAGTGGGGATGCCTTCGGGCACAGCCACAAAGCGCTTGCGGTGGCAGAGCACCGCACGGTCCTGTGCAGAGCACTCGCAGCGGGGTGGGCAGCCTGTGGCTGAGCCTGACAGCACCGAGCCCAGCACCAGCAGGAGGATGGGCTGCCAGCAGGTCAGGAGGGGGCTGGGCATGCTCCTCTCACCCCCTGTCAGCATCCTCTTGCTTACCTAGAGCCAGGAACAAGCACAGGACAGAGGGGGTGGTTAGAGGTAACATGTGGCCGGACCCCACCCTCAGCCCTCTGGGTGCCCCCTGCCCTCCTGCCCCATCAGAATGTCCTTGATACAGGCCTGGCCGGTTTTCTCAGTGGTTAGTGTGGCAGCCTACACACCAAGGGGTCACAGGTTTGATTCCCAGCCCTGGTGGGAGCACATGCGGAAGGAGCCAATCGATGTGTCTCTCTCACATTGATGTTTCTCTCTCCCTCCCACTCCCTTCCTTCCACTCTAAAATGAATGGAAAGAATATCCTCAGAAAAAAAGAAAAAGAAAAGGAATGTCCCTGACACAGACAGAAAGGTGAGGGGCCAGAGTGGTATATGACACCTGCCTGGGACTCCACAGTGAGGTGCAGATGCCCAGCAGGAGGGTGGGGGGGTCATGCCACCCTATGCTGCTTCCTCCTTGCTGCTTCCTCTGCCCAGAATCCTCCTGAAGGACCCTTCCCAGCATCTCTAGGGTCGAGGGGGTTCATGGGAAGGAAAAGGCCACCTCAGAGCAGCCTGGTATTGGCCCCCCCAGGTTACACCCACCTCCTTTATGTTTTATAGGCAGTGTGACTCTAGGTGTGCACCATGCAGCCCCTGCCCCCTGCATCCTGAGCCACTGCTTCCCCTGGTGCTCATTAGGCATAAAGTTAGACCTGCTGAGTTATCCTTGGGGCTCTCAGAGGGGCAAAAGGGGCTCAAGGCTGAGGCCTCTGGGAACAGTCTGCAGAGGAACATATCTGGTCCCTAGCTTGCAGGCAAGGGCTTCTGAGGCTACTGGGGACCCACCTCACAGCCTGTAGCCTCAGCTACCCTAGGTGCAGACACCATGGCCCCCTTCTCATAGAAATGCAGCTGAGCCAACAGCCTGAGTCCGTGCAATCAGCAAACCCAGTGGTACCTGTCAGTGTTCACAAACCTGCTCCCCAGTGGGGTTTCTAGATCAGTGGAGGGCACTTCCACCCAGAAAACCAGGACCCTCATGCCTCCCAGTAATGTCTCTCCAACTTTTCCATTCTTCTGGGTCCCCACAGTAACCCACTCGGGCTCCTAAGTGCAGAACACAAGGACTGAGTTTTCCTGGCTTTGGCTCAAGCAGTTCTGTCCTCCTGGAATATCATTCCCCTGCCTGTTTGAAACCTCACCTTCTCGGCCTAATTTCACATCCACTGCCCTGAGAAGCTTTTTCTGATCCCAAGTAGGAAGTATGCTCCCCTCTAAAGACTCCCATAGCCTTCATTGCTCTGCCTCTTGGGATTCCAATCACCTTCATCCTAGTGTCAAGTTTTGTGCAGCTGCTAGTCTGAGGGAGGCAGTCAGATCCCCAAAGCCCAGGATGGCATGGACAGCCTGGAGGGGCCGGTCCACACTGCAGCTCTGACGATGTGAGGCTTGTCATATCTGGGCCCTGAGGAACATGCAGGAGTTAGGTGATGGTGACATAGGCGATAGTGCCAGGGCCTAGCTTGAGCACCGGCTACAGGTGGAGTGAGCAAGGGGTGTGTGAAGCTAGCCCTCCGTTACTGTTTCCCAGTCTGTGTTCAGAGGCCGTTTGCTCACATTTGTACCCAGAAGGTCTCCCCATTTCCTCCTTCCCTCCTCTGTTCCACAACATGAAAAATTGGCCCAGCAAGGTAAGGAGGGGACTGGGAGGGCTAGTCTGGACTTCTCCAAACTCCAGGGGGTAGACAAGATGGCTTCTGGGAGCCAAGCTGCAGCCCTCCCACTGCTGGTGGGGTAAAGATCCATCCCACCCCAACCTGGCACCCTGGGGCTCTGCTGCCTGTCCACATACCCCACATCATGGCCCTGACGGGTACTCACAACAGGAACGGGAAGCCCAGTCTGGGAAGGCCCACCTCCCTGCCCCAGCTCAGGCCCTTCTCCCACCCCTTCCAGCTTCTCCCGACACCTGTGCACAGTCTCCACTTTGAAGGCCACAGTTCTTGTCATCCACACTTCAACCCTTAAGGCAAGTGGGGCTTGGTAAGGGCGAGGCGGGGGTTGTCCAAAGATACCCAGCCCGTAAAGAGGGATGTCAGATCAGAACTCTGGTCTGTAAGGCTCCAATGGAGCCACATACTTTCCAATGCTCCAGTTGTCTCCCAGGACTGACAGGTGCTCCCTGGTTGTAGATCAACTAAATGACTGATTAACCAGAAAGGGCTCTAGCTGTCACTGGCATGTTATAGAATTGCAAGGTTTTGTTATCCCCAAGGGCTTTGTCCACCCTCTTCCCTTCAGCCCCTCTCATACTCTCTCTAGATTCTTCTGTGGTTTGTCCTTTCCCACCCACAGTCACACGCACTCCAATGACCCAGCAGAAAAGCAAACATCCTGGCAGGCGATCAATAAGTAATTGGGCAGGCAGCTGAGGCCAGCACTGATGTGAGGCTGGGGACCTAGAGAGGTAAAGAGGACTTTTAGCACCCAGCCAGGGGCTGGGTTGGTGGGCAAGATGGGGGCTGTTGTAGAGGGGGCTGAAGAATAAGAGAGGGTTAGCAAGGGCACAGGCCACCTGAGATGTTGGTAAGCCCCTCACACAGGCAGGAATCTCGTATTTGAAGCCTTTACCACCTTGCCTCAACTTATCCATCACCTCCTTTCCCAACACTCTGTCCAATGATGTCACCCAGGAATTCCGGCCTTGTTCTCACATTTCTGCCTTGAAGCCATCTTTGTTTGGAGAACTCTCCCAGCCTCCTGCCCAGCAGCCTTTGTGATCTTCCACCCCAAAGGCCATCTCCTCCATGAAGCATCCTTGACCTACCCAGTCAGAAATCATTTCTTGCCAACACCTTACATTTATTAGTAGTGATATTATGTAACTGATGTATAGCACACATTATTCTAAAAATTACTTGAGCCAATCAAAAGAAAAGTTAGGCAATGAAATGATAAAAAGATAGAACTAAAAAAGGCATGTCAGTCAGGAAAGAATGTCACAAAATCCTGAATAATTACTAAAGGTGAGAGCTCTCTGGTGATGTGAGCAAAGAAAGAAACTATGCTCCAAAGCCTTAGCACTTGGCCCTTCACCTGTTCCATGTGTTTAATTCTGGGTCCAAGAGTCATGGGTCATCTCAGCTGCTAGAGGTTGAGGTGCCTATGGGCCAATGTAGTGGCACATACAGACTCCAGTTGAACGGAAGTGTGTATACCTGAGTTTTACAGGGGTTGAAGTTCCTTTGATGAGGCTGACTCTGAAGCAGGCAGCTGAGTAATGAGAGACCTGGGGAATCCAAATATGTTGATAGAAAAGCTGGTCAGGATTGCCATGTGACTGCCACCCTCGGGCCTGGCAGTTAGACCCACAGAGCAACAGGCCATGCTCCACAGGACCAGGACAGCTCCAGAAGGGCAAATTCCCTGAACTGCCTCACCCCTCACCTTTTACATGTGGCTGTCTTGAAAGGTGGGGAAACTGAGGCCTGGAGAGGCTAAGGTACTTGCCAGAGCTGACAGAGCAGGAGCACAGCATACCCATGAGGTCCCTGTCACCTAAGGATGCTGGCAGGGTCATGTCTGAGGGGCCACCAAAACTGGCACCATTAATCCTCCTGCAGGTTACTCCTGCAATTCCCAAGGTGAAGTGTTTTATGCATTTTAATCAGTGTTTTATTTTGGATCCTTGTCCCCTGAAGGGCTTCCCACAGGGCAAGAGTTTAAAGATTGGACCAATAAATACAAAGGAAATAAACACTGAAGGCATGCAGGTAGGCAGGCAGAGGAGCCATGCTAGGACACAATGCTCAGACCCCACAGCAGCCTGAGTCCTCCCAGTCCCACAGCACCAGGGCTGCCTATCACCCCCAATAGACTTGTGCTGCCCCCATCGCACCCCCACTCATGTCCCAGGGCAGATATGGCCTGGCTCAGCTGTTCCCCACACCAGCCACTCCACTGTGTGGCCAGGGGCATTGTCTGTCCTCCCTGACATATTTCCCCCGCTGTGCACTGAGAGGCTGGATTCCAGGGTCCCAGAGAAAGCCCACAATAGCAATTGTACTTTCTTCAGCTGGAAAGTCAACATCCTTAAATATGGCTGGGGGATTAAGATGAGTAGGGGCTCAGGCCAACTGCAGTTCAACTGGGGCTTGAAGGATCTGTTTGAGGGCACTCACATTGTGGCTATCTCCTCTAGGGTTCAGGGTGGGAAAGGGCAACTGGTGGAGACAAAAGGGGCACGGGATCACCTGTGGGTGGGCTTGGACCTCATTTGGCAGCATCTAGAGGCCCAGCCCTCACAAGCCAGTCAGACACCTGCTCTTATAAAATGGACTAACATCTGCAGAGCACATGCTACAGGTCAGGTTTGGGGCTTTATACACTGTCTCAGAAATACTCACACCAGCATTCAAAAGAAGTATTTCTTATCCATTTTACAGATGAGAATAAATGATGCTTCCAAAAGGGAATTCATTTGCTTTAGGTCTAGGCCACAAAGTTAGTGAGGCAGTACAACTCTGCTCTTTCTGGCCCGGTTGCCTGCCCCAAGAGCTGCCTGGTGTAAAGTGGGGATTCTTTCTGACACACAAGCCAGACCAGGTGGGCAGGCATGTCAGGGGGGCATAGGGGCTGAAGAAAGGCACTAGTCCTTAGGTAGCTGCAAGTAAACACCCTGGCTCCCTCAAACCTGACAAAAGCCTTTCCCCAACTATCCAAAAGTGGTATGCTGAACACAGAATTTTTTCAGTGTTTTCCCACCATACCCTTCTCCCATGCCTGGGGCATTGTCTATGCTAGAATCTCACCTAATTTGGGGTCAGCTGCAGCGTGGGGTAGAAGGTTTAGTTATTTTAGGTTTCCAGTATAAATATTTCATGATGTTCCCACTCAGTGTCACTCAGGAACCATAGGGATCCCCAGCACACACAGACATGAAAGGTGCTATTGCCATCACTGGGGCCTTGGGGATGCCAGGACCTCTGGATGTTCAGCGTGGAAAATAAGGCAGGTATG